GTAAGAGAGATAATATAATCAAGTACTTCTTTACGAAGTTCTTTTTTCTCATAAGTCAGATTATAAACTTGAATTAGTCGAATAGGTGTATTTTTAAAATGAAGGTCTAAGCCAATAACATGGCCTTGATAGTTATGTGAGCGAGCAATATATTTAGAAATATTTTTATGAACAAAAATCCCAACTCCAGCTTGACTAATGTTGGAGTAAGAGCTCCAGAAGCTTATATAGTTATTGATTTGATTGTTAAAGAATTTTCTATCTTTTACAGATATATGTATCTCTGATAGTCCAAAGATTTCAAAGTTATTATTTTGGAGAAAATTAATTAAAGAGAGTTTTTTGTTGGATTGTAGAAGTCCATTAATATTAATTGTTTCAATTTTAATAGGAAGTATAGTAGATTTAATTGTATGTGTAAAGGGAGTTTGTTTGAAGGATAGTTGTAATAAGCCTTCTGAAATATCTATTGGGTTAAATATGCTTTGTGATGATGTCTGCGTTGTCTTTATCGGTAAGTTTAAGAATTTAGTTATAAGAAATTGTTTGATTATAGTGTGATTTGGTAGTAAGTATTGTTTATTTGGTAGGTATATATATACTTCATCAAGAGATTTGTTAATTGAAAGAGTGATATTATTATTAAATTTGTAGTTTTTTAAGTGATCTAAAAAAGATTTTAGTATCTGGTAGTGAGGTAAATATGGTAGGTTATAATAAGAGAAAAATTTATTATAGCAGGTGTTGAAGTCACATGATTCTAAAGATGTTGGGGATGACTTCAATAGTGTTTCTTCTACAGGGTCGCTGCCGTATACCCAGCTCTCACGGTTTCTAGAGAACTTGTAGTCTGCCCTGTATGTTGGGTCTGACCATCATTATACCAAGCCTCCAGGTAAATTATATAATTTTTAAAGAAGTAAAATATACTATTAATGAATTTTGCGAATATCCACATGAAGTAAACAACAGATTTAAAAAACAAACAAAAGATATGTTAAACGAGGTTCAAGAATTACAAAAAGATATAGAAGAATTAGAAAATTTTTATTGGTATATAGATTATGGAAGGTTTATAAACCATAGTGATGTCTGTTGTTACTATTCTTAAGGCTATTGCTTTGTATTAGTGCTTAGTTCCATTATTGAAACATTAACCACTTTTTCTAAATTAGCTAAACAATTTGCTTAATTTTAGTGTTTATTATTGATCGGCTCAAAAGAGAATTACTCTAAAAAGTTTCACTAGCAGTTCTAACCAATGAAAAAATCATATAAATTTATCAAATACTATTGCCCTCGTCAAAGAACAACTGAATGTTTATAATCTAGTGGAGAGTGGAGCTATTGTTTATTCTAGTTTAGGGATTTATGAAAAAAATGCAATTGATAAGTATCTTTTTAAAGTCTTTACTTATTTAATATACTTTGATCTAGTAGTAATAGTCTTTTCTTTAGGAATATCATTCATCCAGATTTGCTATAAATGACTTTTTAAAGAGTTAATTATAGCAAATCTTAATATTTGCTGTTCAAGACTAATCTAGATGACAAAGCTCTGATTAACATTACAGTAATATTGATAAGATTTTTTGTTCAACATGACAGGTTGATTGTATTTGATAAATTTAGGTGATTTTTTCTTTGCTAGAACTGCTAGTGAAAAATTTTCATAGCAATTTTCTCTCGAGCTTTCAATAATAAAAACTATTGTTAAGCTATTTATTTAGTCAAGATTTACTCTACTTCATTAAAAAATCAACTCTTCTATATTTACGAGAAAATTTTGTCAAAAAAATTTATTTTCTACTAATTTAGACTTTTAAATTAAATCAGAATTTCAAAATTATTCATTGTGTATTTGTTCAAACATAAAAGCTCTCATTAACAACATTAATTCTACTATGATTAAAATATCCAGTTTTATAATTTTAAATTGTTCAAACCATCTCGAATAATCTTACCGATTGCTTGTTAATAAGTTTCAAAGCTAACCTAATACTAATCTTAATGAATTTTATGAATTTTGTCTGTGCCACAAACCACCTTGAAAGAGTACTGTTTTTAATGATCACGTAGATATCACTGGGTTATTTGTTTGTAAAACGTAAAACAACGCATGCTTTTGATGCGCTGTTTATTATCATGAAGGTCTTAATTAGATTTAAATAGATAATTCACAGAATAAGAATTTATTTTCAAACAAATAAATTACACCAATCAAAATTTCAAAAGTTTTTATTTCGAAAAAATAAATATAATTTTTTTTACTGAACTAAAAAGAAATACAATTTTCGAATTGAATAAACAAGTTATTTCAATGAACAAATTAATCATAATATTTTTTAAATGGAACAAATTAATTTGTGAATTGAGACAATATAACAGATATTGGGAACCACCACCAATTGATAAAATTTTATCTTCAATCCCTGTGCAATTAATTTTAAACAGTAAATTTTTATCATCTCCACTCCTGTCTCCTAAGGCAAAGGTTTCGCCAAAGCCCCATGTATGAACTTTATTTTCTTCGTCGACTGATAATCACTAACTGCGATATACTGCCAATTAACAAGCTTTGAGATATGAGTAGGCGTAGCTCTACTAGTTAATAAGTCTCTGATACCTAGTTGCCCATAATCAGCACAGCCAAAACTGTATATATTGCCATCTTCTAGCAATGCTAATGAATGGTGTATTCCTGCAGCGATTTGTTTTACTATAGAAAAATTTTTGAATAATTCTACTTTCATAGGGTGCAAAACAAAAGAATTTGATAAGTCAATACTGCACTGACCTTAATTATTTAGTCCCCACGTGTAAATAATATTATCATCATCAACTGCAAAATTATGATATGCTCTAGCAAAAATCTTTTTAATTCTTCTGATAGACATTTTCTCAGAGTTCAATCTATTCCTTTTATGATGCTTCAAAATCTTCCTCCCAAGTTGACAAGCATCTCCACTCCCAAATGTGTATAAAAAACCTTCAGTAGTTAATAACAAGGTGTGATTTTCACCTGCAGCTATATCTGCAATTTTGAATCTAACAGAAACACATTTTATAAATATTTTTTGTTCAAGTTCATTATTCTTTGTGGAAAATCCTAGTATACTATCTTTATCCTTAGAATAAATAAATATTCTTATTAGATAATTGATATTTAACAATAATTAAAAAGATTGTTAAGCCAATATCTTTTTATACTTTAAATGTGCCACTTATGTACAACTGACCGTCTTCTGACAAAGCTAATGTTATGTTTCCACTACATGCGACCTTTACAATATTTATATCATCATCAATGCCTTGAGCATAGAAAGGTACATTCTCACTTCCTGCCTTTTTATTATCCTCACTTTCTGTAATTCTACCTAAAGCACCTGATAATAACATTGAATAATTTCTTGATTAAATATCAATGCTTAAATAAATAAGTGGTATCATCACTAAGCAATTAAATTGGTTCAGATGGAGATAATTCGTACTATGATTATTACAACCCCAAGTTACAACCTAGAGAAAGAATGGATTAATCAGATAATTTAAAGCTCTAATTTAAAACAAAGGAAATATAATTATTTACTTTTCCATCCAGTGTCAAAGCAGCAGCATGAAGATTTCCAACACTTATATAAACGATTTTGAATTCGTCTATATTTTCTACATGCTTAGGAAACTTCACTTCATCTACATTCTCTAAACCAAGTTGACCACAATCATTGCTACCCATAACAAACAATTTTGT